TGTGTAAAACACCGCGTTTTTGCTTTAGCTCAGTCAAATTAAGCCGGAACTTAACCATTTTCTCAGGGTTTATAGTACTCAACGTAGGCTTTCTTTTGGCGAAAGAACGGAGTCTGTATCTATCAAGTTGAGTTATTGCAAAAAGAAAAAAGGTCTTAAACTTTTGTGGAGTACTTTTACTGGTACCGGTACTGGTGCATACCTAATTGTGAGATATTCGCACAGACAATATTATTTAGTATAAATCTGTCTCCAAAAGTGTTTTTGTAGTAAAACTCTTTATCATGGAAAATTCGAAATCTTGTCTTTTTCCGTGCTGGGACAGGTAAATATTCTGGTCTCTCCTCACAAAGGTTAGACGTCTCATTCTTCAGTGCAGACAGATTTATGCTAAATAATATTTTTCATATGTCGACAGACGTTCTGTACTCGTATCCGTTTACCTCTTCCCCCCTTCCAGTCCTATCTACCATGTGTGGATTAGTTCACTTTTTGTTGCCCTCTTTGACCGTCTATGACCAAGAAAAAAATTTAAAACTTTCACCATATAATAAAAGTAAGTGTTACCAGGTAAACACTGAAGCTGGTCATCGATTTTTGGAAATGACATTGAGGTTACATCGTTCACTCACACTAATTATTTCTTCTCGAGAAGCTTTCACCATGCTTTTATTCCGTTGTTAGCCATCGTTGAATTTCATCACATTCAATTAGTTTTCACTTGATCCATCTTAAATATGTAATCATTCACATCCAGTTTTCGTCAGATGACTCACAAATGATCTCATTTTATTCAACTAGTTATTAGGGATGTTACAAATAAGATGAGTGAATAAAATGATCACTTATTCACATAGTCACTTTTGCGTTCTGTCACCTTTTCAGATCTTTCTCTAAACCATAGCTAGGCACAGAGTACAACTGGTGTACTTCCGACCGGTATAAAAATCGGGGAGGGGTATATTCTAGTTAATGTTATATCAGGCTGTCAAGTCGACAGAATATAGAGTGCTTTTGTAGTGAATGCAGCGAACATTTGCTGGAAAATATAAAATTTCTTCTTTTCGCACTTTCTTGCTTGATGCCATTTTTCTTTCTTTTTTGATCGTTTACCTGTTTTACGCGTATATGAATAGAGCAGTATGCCCTATTACTTGCAGGAGAAATTTCATGTTTAGTACTTTTTGTCTCTAGTTTAGAGACGAAAAATGACTTGAAGTCATTTCGTTGAGATTGAACGACAGCTTTTATATAGCAATATATCTGAGATTCTGCTCCAGGAGACTAGTTTTTCCTACAATGGAACCGTAGTTTCTTGGTCTAAACCATTTCCATAACTTCATACTTTTTGCTTTGTTATCGTAATCCATTTGAGAGCAAATGAGCCTTAATTTTTCACTAAATACGACTGGTAATGAGGAAAGCTGTTTTTAAAAATATATATTTTTATGATATATTATTAGAGAAAGATCGATAGCGGAGGTCATAATCAATGACCTTATGTTTTTTTACATGCAAGATGTAGCACCTAAAAAGCTGTGCTCGCGAGATTAATTTAAATAATGAAATATCTTGACTGTTTCAAATCATTCATTAAATAAGGACGATCATTAGTTCGAATATGGATCGTACCTATGTCATCATTTTATCGAATTGCTCTGTTTCTGGTTCTCGAATTTTATTTTGCAATTGAGTTATATATCTGTGATTGGATGGAAGAATACTAGAATATATTTCGAGACATTTATTCCAACTTTCTTTTGCGTCATGATGACAGTTTTGTAGATAATACATCGTACCCATATTTTCGTAGCAAGTAGCAATATTCAAATCTTTTGTCAGCAAGTGTTCATCTGTAATAAATGTTGCTTCAAGATAGTTTTTTAATGCTAAATCGTAGTTTTGAAATGCAAATTGAATATGAGCTATTGCTAGTTGACACGATACAATTTTTGAATAATTTGTAGGATGACAGTTTAACAAAAGTTTGAGAGCTTTTTCGTAATGATGAATGGCGATAGTCGAATCTCCTTCATTAGCCAACGAAACCAATGCCAAAATTATATAAGCAGTTGATAAACTAGGATCATTTTCTGGTAAACTGTTGATCAAATTTTGTAGATAACTTTCCACTTCGTTGTATTTTCTTCTGCAAAGAAGTTTTAAGGCCTCTAATATACTGTGACTTTCATTTTCAATATTCTCAAGGACTGAAGCGAGTACTTTTTGCATAGGATCACGGTCACGTTTTACATGTTCTTCTATGACGTTTAGATCAGTAAAAATTTTAACCTGAACAAAAACAAAATTAACATTACTAGTATATTTGACGACTCAATGAATCATACAAGATTGCAATTTTCTCATACTAGACGATATTTTTAACATTTTAAAATAAAGTTTTGTAGATAATTAAACAGAACTTTATTTAATTGACTTATCGAAAACGATAGAAATCAATATACGGTCGGAATGATCTTGTGAGAAGGTCAGAATTAATGCTTCAAATTATAGAAATTCGAATGCCCATATAAAAAAATGGTTATCACAAAATTTTGATTTATCCCTGAAGATGTTAATTTTGGAATACTTGCAGGAGGAACTATCATAACGGCGCGACTTGTAATGACTTTCCTGGTGAATGCACTTGGTACAAGTACTTGATGAGTAGTTGGGAAGTAGATGACAAGCTAAGCACTTGGCAAGAACTTGCCAGAGTGCTGTTACTTGACTTGCTTCCACTAAGTACTTGGACAAGTCGGTCACCATCTTCTTCTGCATTGACCACTTGTATATAAGCACTACAACATAATCGTTATATACTTATAAAATAAACTTATATTTTTTTCAATCTGAGTTGAAGAAACATAGTAGTCGTGCATGTATTTACTCTACGAAAGGAGAGTATAGGTCCAGAATATGTATAAAGTACAAAATAACAATAAATGGAACAAGTATCTGACTGAACTTTTTCAAGTAGATTTACTTGCATTGTGTCAGCCCAGTAGTTACATTTTTTTATTACTTGGAAAAGTTTACAAGTACTGTCCTCATTACTTAACCCAAGTACTTGCGCAAATACTTGGCTCAAGTACATCCACTAGGGGTCTCGTACAAATTGTAGCGGGAGTAACCAGTATTTTGTGATAACCATCTTTTTATATGGGCAACTCGATTTCTATACTTTGAAGCTTTAATTTTGACCTTCTCACGAAGTCATTTCGACCATATGCTTTTTGTGTTAAAATATATTTTAAATAGATGAGTATAGTTCTGTCTAACGAGGAACCTTTTCCAACTGTCTAGTTGCTTTCTTGTCGAAATCTAGCAGGTTATAGGTTATCGGCCACATTGATTCCGAATATCCATATGAAACGGGCCGCTAGGCCTTCCTAGAGCGATTTTCTAGAAACCGCGAAAAGTCCCTAAAACTTTCTCTTAATCGATCACAATTGTGGCCCACAAAATTCTGATCAAAATGAGACATCTCCCACCTCTACATGACCTTTCTTTGCAAAGTTATAGAATTTAGAAGAAAAGCTCTAAATTAATTTCTTCTTATTTCAGTAGCTTTGAGCTGACAGTGAACATTTAGGGCTTTTCTTGTGAGATCTATAACTTTACAAAGAAAGGTCATGTAGAGGTGGAGATGTCTCATTTTGATCAAAATTTTGTGGGCCACAATCGTGATCGATTAAGAGAAAGTCTTAGAGACTTTTCGAGGTTTATGGAAAACCGCTCCACGAAGACCGCAACCGGATATTCGGAAACAGTGTAGTTGATAACCGATAAGCGACTATGTTTCGACCAGAAAGCGATTAGACAATTGGACGAGGTTCCTCGCAAATGGTTGATGTAAAGTGTTGTAAAAATGGGGATCCAATGATGTCTCACATCTTTACTATGTTCTACCTTGCCAAAATTTTTTGTCCATTCTCTGTCCCATTGAGAATGTTCCACATATAGATATATGGATTCCAAGTGCTCTATATCGTGAACTTTGGAAATAATTTGATGAGAAAACATTTCGGTTGTAAGAAGGCAAATAGAAACTTCACTAAATTCATTTTTTGCATCTTTTATTGCTTCTTCACATTTCTCTACTTCGACAAAGGTTTGAAGATGGTCGAAATGAGCTGATAGCATATTGAGAAGTCCAGCGTTGTTTTCTGCATCCATATTATCATTACCCAACCATACAAATAAATTTCGTACAACAAAATTGTCTTCTTCATTTGTCGTACGATCTTTTTGTTTGTTTCCAAGATCAAATAACAAAGATGCAAAGCTGAAGGAAAGAAATACGAGAGAAGACTATAGAAAGAGAGTTTTTCTAACTTTATATACCTGAGATATTCTTTGTCACATTTTTGCTTTATATGTCGATATTTTGCTCTTGCTCTTTCAAGTGTTACCGAGTTTGACTCATCGGAAGTTAAAGTTAAAACTTCAATTGCATATCGTTCATATGTTAATGCTTCATCATAATTTTTTTTAGCATATTGTATAGAACTTATGTTATTGCATATGAGTGCCATGAAAAAAGCGTCACCCGATGCCAAATCAAATGCTTTCATATAATTGTCTAGTGCAAAGTCAAACTGCTGTTTCAAACAATAAATTGCACCCAAATTGTTATAGCACATTGCATTAAAAAGTAAGTTATATTCTGAATGATATTTTAGCAATACTTTAAGCGCTGTCTGATAGTATTCAAGTGTTCTGTTCAAATCTTGTTTCGTACAAGCAATAAGTCCAAGTTGAATATAGCAAGAAGGTACTTTTATATCATCTATAGGTAAATCTTGGATCAATTGATTAAAGTATTTTTTTGCTTCATTAAGATGATCACTGCAAGTAAACAATAATCCTTCTTCCACTGCATCACTTTCATCTAATACACCTTTTTTAGTGAATAAATACAAGATCGTCAAATCATCTGATTCAATTTGAGGTTTTTCGGTATCCGGTCTGTCCAACTGATACAATACCTTAAGATCAATTTCTACACATTTTTCAAGTGCATCGGGAGCAGTGAATACTCCTTTAATCTAAAATAACTGCAAAGGTTTTTAGATGTTTTTAATAAATAAGATCTAACTAAACATTTTTCATTAGCTAAACATTGTATAACATGACTATTATCCATCCCAGAATATAATGCAAGTTGCCATGTTATGAATAACTCAGATGGAAATGAAGATAGAGACCTGTGGTTTTCAGTTTTGGAAACTAGACACCTGACGCTATCTTTCCACACGCAAAATCGATTTTCGGAAAAATTTCCAAAGGTCATTTTTCATAGGATCTTTGAAAAACTAGCTTGGATTTTCCCAAATTCGAACAACAATCTACTGATTTTTTCGCTTAGGTAGATAGCCCAAAGTCTTCTCTACAAACTCGAACTAAGCGATTAAGTCTTCTCCGGCTGTTTTCAGCTAATATTAAAAAATTAATAACTCACTCAAAATACAACAGAACTAGTTGAACACTTCCGGATGTACAATATCTGAACTGCTTTGTATTCTGCGTATAGAAGAATCTAGAGAACTGTGGTTTTCTGTAAAGGCTTCTAAAAAACCGTCGAACAAATATGACTCTTTCAAATTTCTGGCTTGCATAATGACGTTTAGTGGACAAAATTAACCATATTCTAAAGTTTTTAAGTAGTTCTAATGTATTTTGAGTGAGTTATGCATTTTTTAATATTAGCTGAGAACAGTCGTCAAAGACTGATTTTCATAACACTTGGGTTTTGCTAGGTTCTAACAGCTTTTTCTAAAAACAGACATTGTCACCAGACTCAGCGTAGTCGATAACCTAGGTTTTCATGCATTTCTGTTAGTCGCAAACCTATTGATAAAGGAGTACCGGCCCTTCGGAAAAAATGTTCGCAGCGCCTCAAGCATGGGTTTTGAAAATGTCACTTAGTTTCAGTTTTGTAGAGGAGACTTTGGATTATTCAACTATGCAAAAGATCAATAGATTACCATTTGAATTTCAGAAAATTCAAACTAGCTTTCCTAAGATCCTCTGAAAAGCGATCTTCTGAAATTATTTCGAAACCTATTTTGCTTGTGAAAAGATAGCTTCAGGTGTCTAGTTTCCAAAACTGAAAACCATAGGTCTCTATCTTTATTTCCTTCTGAGTTATTGAAAAAATGGTAACCTGCATTGTATTCTGGGATGGATACTATTTATCTTTTCTAAAAACGAGGCAGTTCGACAATATGCTTATCACATTTGAACGAAAAGTAATAGAGACATGCGGTTTTCACCGTTGGATGGAGAACATCGGGAGAGGTAAATGTATGTAAAAACTAGGCTTCTAGGTAAGGTTTACCATGGTAAGCCTTTCCATGAAAAGACTACAAGTAGAGGTTCACCAGCTCGCGTTCATGAACTCCGTTCAAATGAGCGAAAGAACTGTTCAAAAGTTCTTTTCGAGCGAGCTGAACTTTTCGAACAGTTCGTTTTGAACGAGCTGAACTGGTCGAATAGTTCTTTTTGAGCGAACTGAACGTCGACTGTGGTGGTGATTCTTTACATATATATGTGTCTCTCTATCGTTATACATACAGGTATTTTGTTTTCGTTGGTCAGATTTCATCCAGACCTCTAGCATTACGAAAGGCCGATGAAAAGTAAGGCTTTCGTAACGCGCTTTGGCTGGTAGAGAATCTGTGTGTGAACGTAGTAAAACCATCTAGAAAACGCACGAGAAATGATTAGTATGCGCTACAAAAAGTTTCACAAGATAAACATCTGTCTGAAGGAAAACCTATTCTGCTCATTCAACACAACTCTCTCATAGATGTTTTTAGAATACTGCTACGCTCAAACATTCATTCACAAGAGTGGAAGAAAGTAATGACACGCTCTTTGTTTGCTACTGGCCAGCCGTATGCTCCACTCTTTTTAACTTACGAAAGCATTCTCTCCACAGCATTCTAAATGACTGCGACATCTGTGAAGTTCTAACACAGACTATGTCAGTGTAGCAGCTGAAAGACGACGTTCAGTTCGCTCAGAAGAACTGTTCGACCAGTTCAGCTCGTTCAAAACGAACTGTTCAAAAAGTTCAGCTCACTCAAAAGAACTGTTCGACCAGTTCAGTTCGCTGAATATAGTGTTTTGAACAGTTCATCAGTTCTGAACGAAACCTGAACTTGGGAAGGTCTAACCACAAGACCGCCGTTCCTGGACTGTACGATGGATTTTGATTTTCAAAAAGTGTAATCGATAGCCCGAACCGAGATTTACAGTTCTAGGCCGAAAGGTTTACCATGGTAAACCTTACCTAGAAGCCTAGTTTTGCGTACGCTTACGTCTCCCGATGTTCTCCATCCAACGGTGAAAACCGCATGTCTCTATCACTTTTCGTTCAAATGCCGAGCCGCTTGGTTTCCAGAAAAGGATAATAATACTTTCAACATCATAATAGAATAAAATCCGTACCTTACCTTTGAGCTTTTGTTTGACCATTCCTCTGCAATGAGTGGATTCGTATTATAGATATAAATATTGGATATCTGTTGTAGATCGTGTATATTGGCACTGACTGTTCGATTTAGTTCTTCAGAAATGACAAGAAATATAGTTTCTTGGATAGCTTGTTCTATATAGTTTATCCCAGTAGAGATAGTGTCAAAGCATTGAAGTTTATCAGCCAAAAACGAACGATTTCTTGTAATGTTGAATGCACTGTCTCCTTTCTTTCCAATCCATAGAAGTGTGGAACAAATGTTTAATTTAAAATTTTTACACATTTCCTCTTTGTATCTGATTTGGCTAATGTGAATATCATCATCTTTGTAGTCCTTCTTTACACGATCTACCATTCCATTATACATACGAGTAAAAGTATCATCTGAAGTAATATGAATGATCCACATTGCATTGTGTTCTCTAGAATAGTCAACTTGGACAATTCGAAATACTATGCTAAGATCGAATAAAAATTCAAAATGATTACTCATATCTGATACATTTGCAAATTTGAATGTATCATTTGTTGTATCAACATCAATTTCGAGAATAACCGTAACTGTATCCTCTCGTTTTACAGATTTTGATAAAGTTGATAAAGCTTTACGCATAGAACTATTGACAAATAAAAAATTTCGTGTTTGTATAAAATTACCTACACTACGTCTCATTTTATGTAGCTGATTTGTTTTTAATTTCAATGCACGATAGAAAGTTATTTTTTTCTGTTTCTCTTTCAATTTGTAATTACTATATCTTTGATGAATAATTAAGCAAAGATCTTTGATATAAAATCGAAATTTAAATAATTCATTGAGATCATTAACTTGAAATGCATTATCTAGTAGTCGAGATAAAAATGTGTCTTTAACGTACCACTCTAGAGCATTCATCGGTGAATATGTTGAACTAAACTCGTCCACTGATTTTAGAATGATTTTGTTAGCATAATAGTATTCATTGCAAACGGAAAGAAGACGCTGTCGAGCCGCTGGTCCATCTGACATATGTAATAATACATGTTTGATTAACTGATACCAAAGTCCTGTACCATATATTAGTGTTTTTTCAATTTCTAAATCGTGAAAAACAAAAAATTCCGATTCTTTTCGTAGTTCAAGTCGTCTTTTTTGAATACTTTTTAAAAGATATGTAAGATCAGCACAAATGACGATCTTTTTACCAAAACGATTAAGTAATGTTAAAAATTTATGTCTTCTATTGTAATCAGGAAGAATGAAAATGGAGTCGATTTGTTTGATATCGTGTATTTTCGGTATGATAAGTTTAGCATGATCTGTTGAGAAGACTAGAAATATTTGTTCATGTTCATTGATAGATTTTAAATATTGTAACAATTCGTGTTCCTGATTAAAAAATAAAATATAATCGATAAATTCTTGCATCGTGTGCGTTAAACGTATCATTTTATCTCTCGTTGTATTAGTTGTTTCATCAAACCATATCAATGAAGATTGTTCTTTGTTAGATCTTATTTCGTTCACTTCCAAAATGTTGGTTAGGAATATCTCTCCTTTTTCTGCCATATTCTGAAACTATAAAAACTACCGTAGTGAAAAATATTAAGTCATTGTGTGCGAAATCGGTTAAATCAGGGTTTTGTGTGTTATTAACATAAAAGTTTTCAGCTACATAATGTAGCTTAGGCTTCCTTCGGCGGGTCTTCCCAACGATGTAAACTATTTTGTGAATGAATTAAATACTCAAAAACTAATAGCTGTTTGCTAATCTCGATGTTTCTACCATTAAACTCCCTCCCATAATAGAAGACCGTTGTCGATTATATGGCTGGAAAGCCAAATAGAAGCCCACGGTCTTCTACCGTTGAACTTAGGTATGCACCGAGCTTCGAGTTACCCGAAAATTAAAGTCTGTTGTTTTTCTGATGGTTGTTATTCTCAACCCTCCACATTAAAGAGGATCCTGCACTTTTATACTATTTTGCATGTTAACTTCATTTTACACTTTATCCAAGTAATCTGAACTCATACGTCGCTTTAATATTTTGCCATAAGAAAAATTTCGTTTTGCGTAAGACATAGAGTAAGACATTTTCGATTATTTTCGATTTCGTATAAAAATGTCTTACTCTAAGTGCAAAACGAAATTTTTTTTATGGCAAAATACTAAAGCAACATAAGAGTTCAGATTACTTACGTAACGTGTAAAATGAAGTTAACATGCAAAATAGTATAAAAGTGCAGGATCCTCTTTAATGTGGAGGCTTGAGAATAACAACCATCAGAAAGACTTTAATTTTCGGGTAGCTCGACACGGTGCATACCTAGTTGAACTACTAGCAGCAGGTGCTAAATTTTTTGACCGCAATAGGAGACCATCCTTTAGAAGTCGACTTGCTGAATGAAATAGAGGACCAGGTGGTCTGTTATGGGAAGGCGTTTAGCTCTTTGTGCAAAGTCTGATATAGAGCAGTGAAGAATCTCTGAAACAGCCCTTTCTCTGTATCGTGACAACAATCATTGTGAATTTACACATTCATCAATTGAAAAATCGAAAACGCCCTGTGTCTCTCTCAATTGATGGAGACTTGACTATGGCTTAAAAATAGTGATGAAATGATGGATTAGTCTAATTTAGATCGGTTTTTCAGTTTTTAGCCCAAAATTGATGCAAAAGTAATTATTTTAAAACTCATTTGATATTTTTTGGATAGAGTGATAATTCTACACACTCCTGAGTGTTTTTCAAGGTTTCAGACTTCACTTGAAAGCCAACTGATGATTCAAAGATGAAAGAGGTCAAAAATACTTTTTTTCAAACATCATTGAGTTTTCATTTCTCTTGATGACGCTTTTAAGTAAAATCAAGGACATATTTGGAATCAGCGTTGAATGCTGATTCTAGTGATGCGTTTTTCATTCATTTCTGAGGGAAAACGTTTTCGGTGTTCCTGAGATCCACCTCAACCGTCAAAATTTTCGAATTAATTGAAAGTAGTGTTTTGGAAAAACTGAACCGGTCATTTTGTTCAGTTTTTGACGCTGATTACAGCTATGTATTTTTTTCTCGAAAATTCTTTGAGATGAAGAATCCATTTATCCAGATTTGTCCTTGGCAGAAATCCAAAAAAGTTTTAAGATACTCACAAAATTTTGAAACCAGTTCAAAGATATTTACTATTAAGATACACTTTTTTCGATTGTACCAATTATTATGACAAAATTTTCTAGCACAATAATTTTATTCTCACAATTTACCTTATTTCATTAGGTGACTTCCTCTGACAAACGAAACTCTTAGTAGTATAAATTCGAAGAACTGTACATATTTAAGGATGACGTCTGATTTTGCGCTAATTGTCTTCAACGTAGTTATATTAACTTACTTAATCCTTCTCTCTTCTGATCTGCTTTTCCACAGAACATCTTTCAGCGACTATTACTAGTGTAGCCTTTAAGCACACGGAGCTACGGGTGCAAATAATTTTCTAGTTCGAAAATTCTAAAATATCATATTTGTACAATGAATTTTGAATCTAACTTACTCGAGATATTTTCATTTTTTCTTCAGAATTTTTTACACATTTTTAAACATCACTATAAGTATGCCAATATTTCCTAGTGTAATTTCAATAATGAAAAGAAATAAATGAAATAGAAAAGGAAAAAGAATATAATAAAAAAAATCACTATTTTGCGCAGTTTCAGTGAGTGAAAAGTTAATATGACCTCTCATAAACAGAATGTTGTTGTATTTTTAAGTTCAAATAAAACGTTTTTCTATCTTTTATTTGACATAATTATACGAAGAATATAGTTTCTACAAATTTCGGTCTTTTCCAAATAGTCTGTAACAGATATATCAGATTTGTTAATAGAAGTGATTTTTGATGAATCTTTTCTAATCGTGAGAGGATAAGGACGCTCGGTGCTTGAAACAGAACGTTTTTCGGCGCTAGTGATGATGTTAGAAACTCTCTATTTTATCGAAAAACTAATGAAATCTTTTTCATTTTGTCACAAATGTAATGATATTCCGGAAATTGTATTCTTCGATCATATTAGTTTATGAATTTCGATTTTATTGTCAGATACTATCTAAGTCCAATTTCTAGATCTAAAATAAGTGAGTGTTGGTGAACGTACAATAAGAAATAAAATCATTTTCAGATAAAATAAGACATTATCAAATGCATAAGATTCTTCATAAATTTTCAATCCAAGTTTGAAGCTAATTTGCTACACAAATATCAATAGTTTCCTTATCAATTTTTAACTCAAAAGCTAAATTGTCAAATCATGTGTAAAAAAGAATAGTTGTAATTAGTAATAATAAATTTAAATTGAATAAATTTGAGTTTTTACAAGTAAATTGATTACACAATAAAATATTATTTCAATAAGAGAACGTGAAATTATGTATTTTGAACAATTTACAAAAGAAACGATTAATGTACACACTTTTTAATGTAGATTCACTCTCTGCGTACATTAATAGTCATACAAAGTCTTGTTTTTCTTTTCATCTATTTTCGAAAAATAAAACACGGTGAATACAATTACTTAAGAAGTAGATTTGTTAGTTGGTTGATTTTTTTCTTTATATGAACTATAACAATAATGGAATTAGTATTGTTTTTTATCTTGAAAGTCATACAGAATCGAATCGTGTTGCCAATATTGATATAAACATGAGTAGTAGCACATGTATCAGTTGTAATTATGATGCGAAATAGCAGATGAATGTGGCTGGGGATACATTTACCCAACGGGTGAAAAATCTGTCTTTTTTCTCAGCATAAAGCTTCTAAAAGTTTAATTTTTTACACTAATTTTGATGACGTATGTGAAAGATTCTAAAAAAATTGCTAAACTCAAACTAATCAAGAATTATTGAAGAACAACGACGGATAACTCCCACAGTTACGCCAATTTATACACAACTTTTATCCGACAAAATCTCACTCTGCCTGTCCTTATTGCCTGTTTAAATTTGTCTTGCAACTCAAGCACAAAAAATAAGCTAGTAGCGCCCGCTGACGCTAGCTAAGGTAGTTTCGATATTCGTTGCAGCTAGCTGCATAAACGTACACATCATGGAATGGGTGTGTATAGCGGTCGCTTCAGCTACTAACAAATTGACTAACATGATCTTCAACTAGTTGAAGTTAGTTGGAAATCGCATACAGTAACTTGGTTTTCGATGAAGGAAGCATTTTTTCAGAGTTGAGCCTAGAAACAATAGTATGAAAAATATAATTTCCAGCAGTTTTTCCTCTTGGCACAAATCCAGGAAAAGCTTCCTGCAGGATGAAAAAGCGATTCATTTTATGATTTTTCACTATGAAGAACGCGAAGCATTTCGAACCATTACACCTAGCGAAAAAAGTGATGAAAACTGAATTTCTGTATTCTTGTCTCAGAGTTCAACTCTGAGAAATGCTTTCTTCGTGGTGAATGATATTAACTACACTAATTCTTCCATGCGATAATAACTCACTCGGTTGTTCGTTAGATGGAAGTTGCTTACCATCCAACTCATGTAGTAATGAATCACGTTCATTTATTATACAATCATCATCTTAATAACAGAAAGCAAGTTTACATCAGGCATCAGCCATTAATTATTCCAAAGTACAACTTTCTTTTGTACGTACAATCATTACCTGATGGTTGTTCTGGCAGTTCCAATGTGAGAACACTGCCTATGCCGTCACGTGGCTTATTGTGCTCAAATGAACTTCTTCGTTGATCATCTACAATAAAATATACAACTTTTCAACCAATAAGCTCAAGTCGATCAAAGTATGTACGTATGTTCAAACTATTTCAATATGAGAGAAAGTACTCAACTTTAACTGGCTAAATAAAGTGTAGAATAAACGTACCGTAAGGCGCCGAATTCGACTGATTATCAATATCAATTTGGATTATTTATGAATTGCATCGTTGACGATGCAACCGCATCTTTCGTGCGACCATTGTCTACAATAAGGGTACAGTGAATTTTAATGCTGTATGGCTTGCGAGAAGTGTTTACATCTGTCAAAGCACAAGGTATTACTAGACATGTCAAAGCTTGTACACCAGAATGGTGTAAGAAACACAAAATTCCAATGAATTGAACATCGATATCAATACCACCCAAAAGATGAAACTCATTCAATAATGTTTACATGCAAGACGAAGAAACTGAATCTTTCTACCCTGTACTTCATGATGAATATCACTCAAAGCAGACTCGCAAGATCTGAAGGTTATATTCGGAAAACAGTACTCGATTCTGGGTTTCTACGATGATCAAACAAGAAATCAACCGAACGAATACCTTCACTTCTACGTGAACACAAACTCTTTTTCTATTTTCCTTATTTCTTTCTGTGTGTTTTTCTGTGTATTTGTCTTTTTTGATCTTCGCCCGATACCAGTGAGGTAAGGGTATAATTAACTAACTAACTATAGAGATCTATCATTAAAAGGGACTAGAAAAATATAAGTAATTTGGGAAACGGAAATAAGAAATTATTTTATTTCATAAAAAATCAGTGAAAAAATTTCTCTTTCTGACCAGTTCGTTTTTGTGACCGGTTAGAACTAGTCACCAGTCACCAACTAGTCATTTATTTTGAGATTGCCCAGAAGAGGACTAGTTAGCGATTGGAGTCACTTCTTGGCACTGTACTAGGCAGAACTGGAGTCACATGGACACAAGTGACGGGTACAGAGATCAGTCATTTTTGAGCTAGTCAGCAACTAGTCAAGCGAGCGAACTTTCTTGGAGTGCTTCGGAGAACTGCTTTTTATAAAGTGCAGCTGAGGTACTGCGGAGCACTTCAAAAGAAGCAACACTTAGGAGTACTCATTTTTTGTGGGCACTCCGTTGTAGCTTTTGGAGTACTCCTTTTGAGAAATTCTTTTCTTTCTAAAAAGAGTGCTCCATGATACTCCTCCTCTTGATATATATTTTGACTGGGGAAGCGACTAAATCACAAGCTTTTACATATTTCTAGCACTGTTTCCTTATATTCCAAAATATGCGGATGTTTTCCAGGCAACTTTTGTTCAGCCATTTCAACAGCGAGCTGAGCAAGTCCAAAAGCCACTTTAAATTGTCTTCGTCCGTTGTAAACCTTCGCTAAATTGTGACATGTTACAGCCAAATCGGGATGACTCGAAGCGAGCAATTTGTCACGGATTTTCAGTGCTTTTTCATGAAATTCTAGTGCTGCTGAGTAATCTTTCGTCTCACGATAAGTTTCACCCATATAAGTGTATATCCAAGCCAACCCACAAGGATCACAAGTAACATTTTCTTGAATTTCGAGTGCTTTTTCCAGAAATGAACGTGCAGTTGTATAATCTCCAGTTAATCTTTTCACATCTCCAATGTTACTGTATGTTATAGCGAAGTCTGGATGTTTTTCCGGCAATGCTCTTTTTTTGTATATGTCCAACGTTTTTCCATAGTATTCAAGTGCTTTCGAATAATCCTTCATAAAACACTCTATCCGTCCTAACCAATAGTATGTTGTTGCAGCAAATTTCGAATTACTATTATCCTGTGACATTTGATGAATATTCAGAGATCCTCTAAGCACTGAAAATGCTTTCGAGTACTCTCCCATGTTGAAATAGACCAAACCAATGTTGTTGTTACTTTCAATCAAATGGAGATGATTCGGAGGGAGCGATTCTTCCCTGATTTTTTGTGATTTCTCATGGTACTCAAGTGCTGTCGAGTACTCGCCCATATTACAATATATCTCACCGATGTTGTTGTAGCAGTTGGCCAAATCCGGATGAATCGGAGGGAGAGATTTTTCATAGATTTTAAGTGCTTTATCGTAAGACGAAAGCGCTTTCGAGTACTCTCCCATGTTTTTAAACATCCAACCGATGCCGATATAACCACCAGCTACATCCGGATGACTTGAAGAGAGGGATTTTTCTCTGATATTCTGGGATTTTTCATAGTATTCAAGTGCTTTCGAGTATTCTCCCATATTGTCATACACCGTGCCAATAGAGTCATAACTGTTAGCCAAATCGGGATGATTTGGAGGGAGAGATTTCTCTCTAATTTTCTGTGATTTTTCATAGTATTCAAGTACTTTCGAATACTCTCCCATGGTGTGATAGACCGAGCCGATAGAGTCGTAACTGTTAGCCAAATCGGGATGACTTGGAGGGAGAGATTTTTCTCTAATCTTGTGTGATTTTTCATAGTATTCAAGTGCTTTCGAGTACTCTCCCATTCTGAAATACACCCCACCGATAGAATCGTAACTCGTAGCCAAATCGGGATGAATTGAAGAGAGGGACTTTTCTGTGATTTTGTGTGATTTTTCATAGTATTCAAGTGCTTTCGAATACTCTCCCAAGGTGTGATAGACCGCACCGACGTTACTGTAACTGGTAGCCACATGGAGATGATTTGGAGGGAGAGATTTCTCTCTAATCTTGTGAGATTTTTCATAGTGTTCAAGTGCTTTCGAATACTCTCCCATTCTGAAACACACCCCGCCGATAGAGTCGTAGCTGCTGGCGAAATTAGGATGAATTGGAGGAAGAGATTTTTCTCTAATCTTGTGTGATTTTTCATAGTATTCAAGCGCTTTCGAATACTCTCCCATGGTGTAATAGACCAAGCCGATGGAGTCGTAACTGGTAGCGAAATCGGGGTGATTTGGAGGGAGAGATTTCTCTCTAATTTTCTGTGATTTTTCATAGTATTCAAGTGCTTTCGAGTACTCTCCCATTCTGAAATACACCCCACTGATAGAATCGTAACTCGTAGCCAAATCGGGATGAATTGAAGAGAGGGACTTTTCTGTGATTTTGTGTGATTTTTCATAGTATTCAAGTGCTTTCGAATACTCTCCCATGTTGTCATACGCCGCGCCGATGTTATTGTAACTGCTAGCCAAATCGTGATGATTTGGAGGGAGAGATTTCTCTCTAATCTTGTGTGATTTTTCATAGTATTCAAGTGCTTTCGAATACTCTCCCATGCGGTCATACACCCAGCCGATAGAGTCGTAACTGGTAGCCAAGTGAGGATGATTTGGAGGAAGAGATTTTTCTCTAATTTTGTGTGATTTTTCATAGTATTCAAGTGCTTTCGAATACTCTGCCATACTGAAATACACCCCGCCGATAGAGTGGTAACTACTAGCCAAATCGGGATGATTTGGAGGGAGAGATTTCTCTCTAATCTTATGTGATTTTTCATAGTATTCAAGTGCTTTCGAATATTCTCCCATGTTGACGTACACCCAGCCGATAGAGTGGTAACTGCTTGCCAAATCGGGAAGATTTGGAGGGAGAGATTTTTCTCTAATTTTGTGTGATTTTTGATAGTACTCAAGTGCCTCCTGGTAATCTGCCTTCTGATTTCTTATATATCCAAGTTGTTGGTAAAGATGGGAAAGTCCTTCTTGGTCGTCTTTGGGTATCTCTTCGAGTAATATCTGATAGATTTCTTCGGCCTTATCGAAGTTTCCCATTTGGAGCAGCATTTTACCAAGCCGGTGCCACTCGGTTGTTCCTTGTGTCTCTTTTCGAAAATAGTCAGTCAGTTGTTTAAGCTCTGGATCATCGTCGGTGGTCAACGTGAGTTCCACTCGCCAGATACCATGTTGAATTGCTTGGATTTCACCGATTCGAAATACAGAATGCATGGAAAATAAAATTTCTTCCTCGGTCTGGGAGGCGCTGACGTGTGCCACGGAAGCGAACGGAGTTGACGACTTTGATGGATTAACAGTCATTTCGAAGAGAACACCGACCGAATTAAGATTGTTTAGCGCACCACGAGCAAATTCCAATGAGACGTTTCGATTTGTACTCGTCGATAAGAAGTTATTAAACGCCAACAGAGCACCTTTACTCTGTAGGATCTTGTTAAAGTCCACAGTGGACATGCATTGACCTCGATAGACCATTAAGATGCCTTGATATTCAGTTTCCGAGTGGATTTTTTCAATGTGTCGATGAACATCACGTAGAAAGAAGCCCATTTGTATGATAATTTCCACGTCTTGTGTTCGGAGGGCTCGATTGAGCATCTTATAAGTGAAACCTTCCCGAGTGTACCACCAGATGGGTGTATGATCGTCATAATCTCGTTCGAACTCATCGATTATCTGCTTCTCATGTGGATTGTCATGGTATTGATCTCGACAAAAGTTAGCAAGGGCTGTTTTTGCCTTGTCATCATATTGCATTTCAATAAGAGTTTCTTTGAGCAATTGTGTATACATAAATGATGGATCAAGATTATCCAAATCTCCACTGGTGGTGACACTGATCGAAACAGAATTATGGTCACATTGTTGAGTATCTTGTTTGAGTCTGTCACAAATCAGATCGATTCCACTGAAAACATCTTTGACCTTTGACCATTCTTTCCTCCACTGTTCATGTTTTGTCTTGTTGCGACAAAATACATACACAGAATCAAGTTGAGGAAAATGATGAATGTTCGGTACTGTTGATTGTCCAAGAGCGCCTGAAACAATCATAAAGACTTTTTCGTTCTTAGTCTGATTAAGAAAATCGACGCATGGATCAGCATTGGTGAATGTGTCAATGGTGTTGACAATTTTTCGAAGTTGGATTAGGGAATGTTTAAAGTCTGCGTCGGATTCATCTATATCGGAATCTAACCAAATTAACCTGAAATTTTCAAGTATACGATGTCGTGGTGGTGGTCTTGCTGAATGGTTGGCGTCTGAGGGTGTGGTAGTCGCCCTTCTAGGAGAGATAGTGGGTGTTTGCCTGGAGTTGCTATTATCGGCGGATGATGTACTATTGGACTCTGTAGATTCTGTTTTTTCCATTTTGTCAATCTCAAATTAACCACTGGCGAGATTCTAGTTGCTGAACAGCAGTGATCGTGTACATCGACTTGAAATGGTGTTGAATATGATGACACTGGCTTTGAGAGGACAGTGTTGGTCGATTAGGAACTATACAAACATTTAATCTGTGTAAAATCTGATTTGAACGATTTTTCAAAACTTTGAAAGAGTCGCTGACAACAAATTCTATGAAGAAGGATTCTGGGGTTTCGTTATCCTCATCTACCAGAGTCTTATCTTTCTTTACAGTGGCTATTTTCTAGCTGCATACGAAAGCCATGGGTACATTAGAAGACCTCTCTAGCTAGAATAAAAGATCCGTTCAACCGAACGAGACAAAAGACAGATTAGGAGAAGATTCCTCTAATAAAAGGTTAACTTGTTGGGAATTCCTGCATTTTTGAAATCCTTTTGGTACTTCTTTGAATATGTATTTCTGTAGCTCAAGAGCAGTAATATTTTTCTATCTTTTCTGTGTTTAACAGCTGAATGTGTGTTCACTATAGCCTAAGGCCTGCGAAACCGGCACCGGACAGAAACGGAGTCAGTTCGTCATTTCACCTTTTCATTTAGATTAGCTTTTCACTCAGTTCGGTATCTACCGATTTTTCTAGTTCGAATTTACAAATTGTAGTGCTATTTTCTGTAATTTAAGTATAGATGTTAGAACGAAACGAAGTCTCACAAAATTGCAGCTGTCACATATTCCGCTAGATTTTCATTGCTATGCTCAGTCAGGCACAGACAAATGCAAACCGTAACATTTTGAAACTATCTATCATCTAGTACTTATATAACGCGTGTCCCAGAATAAATGACACTAAATCTATCTTTCTAATAGAAAGAACAAGACAAAACATAATGAGGAGACTTGCCTAAAGAAGGAAAGATGGGGAGTCCGTATACACTCGTAAACGACCGTATACTTTCCGTATTTCTCCGTCTCCGTTCGTTACTCCCCATCTTTCCTTCTTTAGGCAAGTCTCCTCATTATGTTTTGTCTTGTTCTTTCCCATACGAAGTAAAATCTAAATGCGCGCTTCGTCAAGTGTATGACTATGAAAATATAGATATGTGTTTGTTTGCCTCGAAATTGTACTCTATAGATCCAGTTTTTTATTTAAGCAACGATACTAATCACGCACTTGCCTTGTGGCAACATCATTTTATGGCGATCGTCAGCAGTGTGTTCCAATCAAAAATATTCCTATTGTCAAAGTAAGAACTCTCCGTTTTTCTCAGCGTACTCATTATCTTCTACGGAAAAGAAATGCTGCTTTTAAAAGATCAAAATCAACACAACATTCATCTCGTTTGTTTGATATATATATATAAAATTTCGGAATCTCGCTATCAGTTCAATTCGTAGCGACAAAAAACATTTATTTGAAAGTATTCTAAAAGACTTTTCAAATAGTAAAATGTTTTGATCAGTCATAAAAAAGTATCGTGATCCTGTTGCAGACTTACCATCTTCTATGCAATATAATTCTGCTAAGCTAGTGATGATTCTTCTAAAGCCGAGTTATTATCTAGTTTCTTTCAAACTAGTTTTTCACAACTCTCTTCACTTACCACGAATAATTCTCAACTTCCTTTATCTTCTCAGTCTCTATCTGAAATTAAATTTGATGTTTCTGATGTGTTTAAAGCTAGAAGTAGTTTAAAAAATAAAACTTCTTTAGGCACCAATCAAATTCTTATCAAACTTTTAAAGCTTAGTGCTGATGTAATTTCTCCTCAGTTATATCATATCTTCTCTCTTTCTCTTTCGACCGGTGTGTTTCCTCT